CCGGCCTCTACACCAGCGGCATCAGGCAGAGCGGTGTCGTGTTCGAGAAGGGCTGGCCGCTGAAGGCCGGCGTCGAATGCGAGATGGTGGCCCGCATGGGCAAGGACGTGCCGGCCGGAACCGAATACACCGCCCAGTCGATCATGGAATTCGTCTCGAACCTCTATTGCGGCATGGAGGTCGTCGAGAACCGCTACGGCGACGTCTCCAAGCTGGGCGGCCCGGGTCGCATCGTCGACGACGTGCTGCAGGCCGCCTGCGTCGTCGGGACCGAGATCAAGGACTGGCAGAAGACCGACTTCGTCAACGTGAAGGGCCGCTCGGAATTCGAGGGCAAGGAAATCGGCGCCGGCCCCGGCAGCAACGTGATGGGCGGTGCGATGATCTCGCTCGCTTGGCTCGCCAACAAGCTGATCGCCAACGGCAAGCACCTGAAGGCCGGCGACATGATCCTGACGGGATCGGTGCACCCGCCGCAGTTCCTGCCGGGCCCGGGAGTCGCGAAGACCGAGTTCGTCGGACTGGGCGGCGCCGAGATCACCGTCAAGTAAGCGACCGGCTCGCAACTTGCCCTGACCTGGCGACACGGCAATTATCCTTCTACGATTCAGGAGGAATTGCCGTGGATGCCAGGGAAATCGCCGCGCTCGCCGAGAAGATCACCGAGGGGCGGCGCTCGCGGAAGCCGATGGACGTCATCGCGGCGACGGCCGGCCTCTCCGAGGCCGATGCCTATAAGGTCCAGTTCGCGGTCCACGATCTCTACGCCGCCGCTGGCGACAGGTTTGCCGGCTGGAAGATCGCGCTGACCTTGCCGACGCAGTACGAGCCGCTGAAGCTCTCGGGCCCTGTCTTTGCCGGTGTCTATCACAGCGGCCTGCGCCAGAGCGGCGCGGTGTTCGAGAAGGGATGGCCGCTGAAGCCCGGCATCGAGCCCGAACTGGTTGCGCGCATCTGCCAGGGACGCGCCGGCCGGTAGCTCGCCCTACACCGCCGACAGCATCCGCGCCCATGTCGGCGCCCTCCATTGCGGCATGGAACTGGTCGACAACCGCTACCTCGATGTCACCAAGATGACCGGTCCCGCGCGCATCGCCGACAACGTGCTGCAGGCGTCGCTTGTCGTGGGCACCGAAATCGAGGACTGGCAAAAGCTCGACTTCGCCAACCTGAAGGGCCGCTCGACGCTCGACGGCAAGGAACTGGCATCTGGTCCCGGCAGCGCCGTGATGGGCGGCGCGATGATCTCGCTCGCCTGGCTCGCCAATGCGTTGAACAGGCACGGACGCCACCTGAAGGCCGGCGACCTCGTGCTGACCGGCTCGGTGCATCCGCCGGCGTTCCTGCCGGGTCCGGGTGTCGCCAGGACGGAGTTCGAGGGGCTGGGCTCGACCGAGA